CATGCATGCACGTATGCGCATCGATAGATCGAATTTGCTGCATAATACATAAAAGTAGCTGTACATTTCGGTCTGGTCGGTCGGAAGCTCAATTTTCCCACACGCTGCAGAGTTGATTCGCAAGGTAGACTCATGTGCTGCTGCTGCTGCTGCTCTCACATGCTAATCGCGAGCGAAATAATTTGTCATTTAACAAGCTGGAGTTGAGTTGCTGCTTGCGCGCTAACGGTAAAAACGGGATTGGCGGGTGCGTTTTCATCCACTCGCGCTCAGCCGGAATGTAAGCACAACCAGTAAAACCAGAGGCCTCATTAATGCGTAACATCCGCGCGCGCGCGCGCGTCAATTTGTAACAAATCGATGAGAAAAGGCGCACGCATATTAATCATCATCAGGATTATTGTTCCGGTTTGTGACTTTATTCCAGAGAACTGCCAGCGCCTTCTTCGGCCAAGTGTAATAAATGAAGCAAATTTTCCGCGCGCGCTCATTAACTGGCAGGCAGCAGGTACGCACACACAACGTAAACAAATCTGCGGCTTTTGCCTCGTCGCGAATTTAATTTATGCAAAATGGAGCACCGCGCTCGCGCGGCAACGGCATTTACGCCAAACGCGCGACAGCTTCCTGACAACTTCCCGGCCATATAAAGACGACACTTTAACCGACCTTAAAATAAACTACTTTGTTTGTTTGCGCTATAATGGCGTGTATTTTATTGCACTCCCGAGAAAATCTAAGTACCTGTAATACTGTACAGGGCAAAGCCAAGATATATTTATTTATATTAATTAAACCGATAAATAGTTCCATTTTTTATTTAAAACACAGTAAAATCCGTTATACCGCAAAAAATAAATAGAACATACTGTAAGTACATTAAAACGCAATGACTCTATCCAGCGCATATCTCGCGGAATCAAAGGCGAATCTCATTTAAATTCGAAGCGATTTTCGAGCGAAATAAAATTCCCTCGGCAATAACATTATACAAATACATATTGCATTGAATTCGAGTATAAATATATTTATATTGCTTAGAGCGCGCGCGGAACAAACTGATTAGTGCAGAATTATGGCAATAGAGCTGAAAAGTCTTCAAAGAAAGCCCCGAGTCTATATAATCTATAAACCGTGCGGCTGTGGCCGCCGAGACAAAATTGTTTCACGTCAGGCCTAGAATGATGAAGAGTTGATTGAAAAACGCGGCCAAATCCACGCGCATACGATTCGCATAATTCAAACGAATCGAATCCTGACTCGGAGGCGATGCATCGAGCGAAATGATAAATGGCGAACAAATGGTCAGTGCCGCAGAGGCGCACGACACGCATTTTTCACGACTTGGACTTTGTTCATATCTGTGCCTCAAGATTATTACCTACACTAAAAAATGTTTAAAAAACATAAAATTAACATGTGTTAAACACATGAAATTTCTATTATTTTCATTAACAAGATAAGACGTGCCGACCGAAGTAAAGAATAAACGAAACGAATCGCCCCGATACGAATACCTAAAAGAGGCAATTTAATTCCCATTAAAATCAACTTCGAAAACGTCGAATTCCAGTTAATTGCGGCCGAGTGGCGCGATGGGAAAAGATGGGAAAATCGCCGGTTGCGCCTCCTGCATGCCGAAGCGAATGTCGTGCACATAGGAAATGTATGCATGCACGGTGCGCATGCACAAGTACACATCTCTCGCATCTCGCGCGCCGCGCGATTGATGGTGCGACGCGCGAAACGCATACGCAATCGAACAGCATCGATCGCGGACCACTTCAACCTTCAACACATGCGAAAATCCACTTTAATTGTGCCAGGAAGTGAAATATTTAAATAAGGCGAGCTCATTATAATGCGCTTATAAGCATTAAAATTGAGCGTTATCTAATTGCCGCATCGCGGCACTCTGCAATCTCATCGTTCCGCGTACTCGACTACTCGATATCAACGAATCAAACTGCAAAAAAACCAACAGGTATAATTTTGTCACAACTTCCTATCAATAACGCAAACATAATTATCCAGTAAACGAGGCATTATGTATCAACGTCATTCGCACGGCCAGCCTTCCTCCAGATATGTAAATATAGTTATAACAAAGCTGGAAAAAACAAACAGCAATGATAATGTATGTACCTGATATCAGATATGCATGTGGGATTTGAGGCCGCGCAAAGAAAATTGCAATCGAGCTGCGCGATCGGCTCTCGCTAATAGTTTAATGACATGTGTTTGATGCCTGAGAAGCGCAGCTGAGTTGACGCAGTTTCGCCTTGGGCGCAAATAAAATCGTCGCACTTTAATTAATACCATTACGAAATGGTGTTATATTCATTGCTATCAAATTGCGCATGAAAATTGGATTATCGAGCGGCGCGGGCTTCATTTGTAAGCGTAATAATGCTTATTAAATGCCATGAGACAAGCGCTTTAATCGTATGATCATTTTCTCGAGAGATCAATGGAATGCGTTGCGTAGGCAAACCAATTTTTTCTCCCTGCCTGGATCGGCGTATTTAATCTTTCGGTTGTTGTAAGGTTTTTCCTACCCGCGGCGATGTTTGCCGAAAACAGGGTTTTTCCGGCGAGTCATCTTGGAGGAGGTTTATCGAGGTCGCATTACGTATTCACCGGCTATCGTGCTACCTGCCGCCCATTACTATCGAGGCTAACTGAAACCGATACTCCTGCTGATTATAAATTAGGATGGCCTAGAATGTGCACCCGGCGAGGACTAAATAAAATTTAAGCTTTACTTGAAGAAAAAAAAAACAATTTTCTTTAGGATAAAAAATACAGATAATTATTATACAGCGCATTTGCGTAGGTTGACTATGACTTGATGAAAATCGCGTGTTTAGTTTTCCGCTTATAAAACAACGCGGCGGTGAGGCGAGGCAATCAGTGAAATAAATCACAAGAGTGTTTTACCGGTTGCGGCGCATAAACTTCTTGCCCATTTTCATCCTCTGTGCGCGCATTACTTCAAAATGGCAAAAGCTCCCGCACGCTGCTCTCGCAGCGCATAATATACGGATACGTAAGTATGTACCGTCCGGTTGTGTAACGAGATTATCGTTCAATTATCGCTGTCAATGCACTCATTTCGCTTCGCGTATGGTTACGAATGGATATGCGCGCTGACCGGCGCGGATGGATGTGTGGTGTACTCGTGCACAAAAAGAGCTAAGGAGTAAACACATCAAAACATCAAACGGACATGATGGCGCATGTGGTGCATTACCGGCGGCGTGCAGACAAAAACGGTGCATTCGTAATATGTTAATATACAAAGCGAGGGCGAGAGCGGAAAGCGAGTCTTGGGCCTGGGCACGCCGTCCGACTGCCGCCGGCGTGTGGTCATACCGCCAACGTTTAACAAGTGCACAAGTGCAACCACTAACTAAACAATGTAGAAATCATACTTTCCATGCACAAACTTTCAATACACAATAAAAATCATCAATTACCCATAAAAATTAATTTTTTATGTCAAAAGTAAAATTTGTTAAACACTTAAATATTTAACATTTAAGTAAGTTTTGCGAAACTTTTCTACACTTAGTAATATTTTGTTGAATACCCTGTAGATGTTACTAAGTATAACATGTAACAACGCAGATCATTAACAAACATGTCCGAACAACACGACGACCATGCGAACAGGCAAGGCAGTCCTCCGCCCGGTAAAAACAAACGCACGGCAACAACACACACCGCCGAGATAAAACATTTCCGCATCACCGTGAGCACTATGAGCCTCTCTACTGGCCTCTCTCTATGGGTTCAAACATTTTCGACGCGCGGCATGCCGTGAGCAGCATCATCATCCTTCTGCGAAAACGCACACTCTCCATTTTGACTCCTCGTCTCCTTAGTCTACAATTCATACCTTCCTGACTCGTCTGATGAAAATATTCGCGTCGAATTTATATCTTGGCGATTAATTACGCAATTCCTTGAACGCGTTCGCAATTTTTTTCGCGTTTTAAACCGTTGGATGCGTGATGTGTGATGTGAATTAGCATTGCGATCCCTTAATTCTTACGGCGTACAGGCGCACATGCACACATTTACGACGCGCATTAAGCTATTAGACGATTACATACCAGCGGTTATCTCACGGCGACTCCGCGAACGCATTAAAAACAATTTCCGTTTGACATTAACGTTTGGGAAACGACTTTTCCCTCTTCGAATCGCAGACGAGACGCACGTACCTTGATACACATCCAGTTGCTTTTCCATTTCGCTTAATAACTAAATTAATTACACTTATATTGATGTGCGAGCGAAAAGAGAAGAAGAGACGAAGCAGAAAAATTACAGAATGAGCAATGCGCTTGCTCGTTAAGGCATGATTAATTCGAGTGATGCTCCTGCAATACGCTGGGTAATTATCAACATGTGATTAACTACACAACTGATTTGACTTGCAAGTTGAAAAATACAACAATGCAACAATGCAAGTTGAATAACGCAGCATGTAATTGGAGAAATTCGCCAGAGCATTTGCGTGCTGTACACATTGAAAAATTACATTTTATGATTGTTGACTTGTTCTAGCGGCGGCGGCGGATGACGGTGACGGTGTCCTCCGCCTGTTTTGTAGCTGCCGGCGCACAAAAAGCACGCAATTTAAATTTATACAAATATTTATCCAATGCGCCCCGCGTACAAAGCACACACAGAGCCGTACACAGCCAGTACGTTAACTGATATTATGATATTATTTAAATATAACGAACGGTATACACACTAGCACTTGCGGTAAATGAAACGGGCCCCGGCGCGCAGCGCATGCGATATGCAAGCAGTCGCCAAACGTCGTATTAATAACAATAATATCGATAAATAATGTCCGTGCCGCAACAACAGAACAGCAGTCAACGAGATACCCGTAGATGTAAAGATCCGGCGAGAGAATGACAAAAACGCGAAAAATTCGATATACCGCTGAACGCATTCTATAATTATTTATTTTATTCCAGAGTTGCTGAGTTGCTGAGCCAAGACTATCTGCGCATAAGGTAAGCTCAAAATTCCTATTTTAATTACGATTATTAACAAAAAATGCAATTGTGGGGGTGGAAAATGTAGAAATAGAAAATAAGCTCGCGATGAATTGAAAATGAAGATGAACGAGATGCACGAAGTAATGTATGACGACCGGTAACGACCACTCAGCGCACAGTCAACACACACGTCAGAGCACTCTCGCCGGCGATTATTCATTCGCGCAGCGCGCGCGCGCGCGCGAGCTAAAAGTGAAAGAAAAGCACTTGTTCTTCGACTGAGCACTATTCTGAATGTATACGAGGAAGTCATAATGTTCGGCCGGGAGGATGCACGACGCGCACAAACATATATACACACCAGCAAGCAGTTCAATGCGGTCGTGATGAATGCAAAGTCAAGGACTACATGCGCATGATGCACGTGATTTTTCATTGAATTCGCTGCGGCACAGTGAAAGGGAAAAACTAGACTGGATGGAAAAACGCGTGTTCTTGCGTGTGCGAATTCATTCAGGATTTTTTCGTAGTGTGCATGGATTTTTGCACATTTAAAGATTTTCCCGGTTTGAACACTTAAATCAGGCATCATTATCTATTGCTGACATTACCGCCGGCGAGGCGAGTCGAATCTAATGTTAAATTCAATACGTTTTACTTATTACAAACCATTTATAGCGTCTTAAAGAAATCCACTTACGTGCGGCTCACCATACACACACTACTAGTAGTGCTATGCCTTCGGACCTTACTTATTGCTTAGTTAGTCCCTATTTACGTCTAATGTGCGCGCGGCACGGCAGTCTCATGTCGTATTTGTATGGATGTCCCTCCGTAATGTCCAGTTAGTCCTCTCTGATCGCGACCGAGTTCGATTCCAAGTTCGATTTTAATAACGCCCATTAGGAAGAAGAGTTATCCGCAAGCCCGCGCGCGCGTCTTTAAAGTCAATGTTTGACGACGTGAGAGCGCACCAGCAACAACACGCTGTAAACTAAATTCACCACATTCGTCCTTTATACTTTTAGATTGTCGGCGACGTAATAGCACGTAATAGAAATGAGTCCAAAAGTAGGCTAGTATTTCTCTCCCAGGTGATTGAAAACTCAACTTAACTAGCCTATTATCACACTGATGTGCTGCACAGCCAGCAAACACAATTTATATTTACATTTATAATAAATTCCGCCGCACCGGAAATTAAATAAGTTTTTTTCGACGCTTTGCGTTGAATTACAAGGGCGGCGGTTGAAGTACAATGTACAACGATGTAAATTATCCTCACGTGCGTTTTATAGACGCGCGTTAATTTATTAAAATATACTTGGCGTCGATAGCAAGTGTGGTAAATTGGCACTTTAAGCGACGATTCCAATTGATAGCTCGACCATTAACTGCCACGAGGTCGGACGGACGACGAGCGAAGCGCGCGTGTGTGCGATTTCTTGTATTGATCAGGCACGCGGATCATCTGGCGAACGATCGCGATATAAAGGAATCGTCAAATCGTCAAACCCACACACAACTTGTTCCAGTCACACTTGTCACACGCTGCGCCGCAGAGAGATACTCGCTTACACACGCTAAAGAATTGATGCGTCGATTGAAACACACACACACACAACATTGGAGGAAAATGTCTAAATCTAAAAATAAACCGCGCGCAACTTCTGTTCTGGATAGATGCAGCGTGAGCTGCAAGAAGTGTGAATATGCACAGTGTTGATAAAAGGCGCAAAGAAGTCGCGACGTGTTTGCACGTCGTGAGCAAAAAGTGCAAGATGCACGACGAATGCCGGCCGTTGGTGTACGCCATTAAATTATTAACAAGTCGACGGGCACAATTATACCGACGCGCTTAATTAAATTAAACAAAACGCCAGCTTAGTTTACATACATCGAGTGCACAGTTCGTTAGCACTGATGAACATCTCCGAGAAACGGTACCCTTAAAGTGATACCTCCATATATACACAATATAATAAAGTGATTAAATATTATTTATGAAGCATACAAAATATAATGTAGTCGCTGTAATAAAAAAAAGCGAAGATAGAAGTAGCTTCCAGATGTCGCTGTAGCCAGACGTGTTCAACATGGCTGCCGAGAGGCAACCTGCGCGCACACATCGTGTCAGTAATTACGATAATGAGCTGCTAAGAAGAAATTCCAATTGGCTTCGTTTTCGCTCAACTCGAAAGCGAGTTTGAAAATGCAGCTACTGCGGCGTTGATTCCGAAATTTCAACCAGGGACCAGCCTACGAATCACAATTAGCGCGAGCGCGGTGGATTTCATTTTCAACTCATCGCATTATCCTCAAGTCGGCTGCACTCTAGTCGACAATTTTAAGCTCATTCATCAATGTCACATTGCACATCATCGAAACAATTTTTTTTTCTTCTCTGTCTCTAGTCTATGAATCACATCTCTTCAATTAAACTCTTACATCGAATATATTATTCTTTGCGGATATTTATTTCCGTAAAACAAAATAAAATCTTTAATGGCACGCGTAGAGGAAATAATTAAGGCTTTTTTCCATGATATTGCTGTGCCAGCTCGAAAACTTGTAATTGTAAGCGGATATAATAAAGCGGATGATAATTAACTTCTAATTTGTTAATACACTTCCTCTGCTGCGCTGCCGCCGCGGCTCGAAGCGCTCAAAGTTTGGCTGCTTCGCAGCAAAGAAAATCTCTCGTGCAGAGCTCCAAGGCAGCGTTAAAGCTTGTGGGGCTCAATCAACAAACTTAAGACGAGCGAAACTGACAGGTAACAAGCATGATCCCGTCTAATTACGATCAAACGCACTGCTACGCCGCGACGAACGAAAGCGAACGCATTAGTCGCGTTATTGTAAAAGGCAGGATGACATAAAGACACAATAATACATGCTCTCATTAACGCTGCAATTACCGACGTAATGTTATTTCGTTAATTAGTGCAGTTATGGTCATACGCCAGTAAAACTAAAAGTGCACACGAATTTGGTGTTTTATTAGTCTGTGGTTTTAATCTAAAACGTTAAGCACAATTAAACACCAAATAAGCGCATAAATAAATGAATCCACAGTCAATCACCTCGAACTCCAACTCGCTTCCTTCAGGCACTGGCAAACACTCGAAGCAATCATTGAAATCAGAACGTCAAATCGTGGTGATGGTGATGCTCAAGTCGTAATTCCTCGTGTGCATTGTAGAGAAGCAAAGCATTCACTCATTCAAAGATATTATAAATATGCGGATGCGCGCCTGCAAGTGCAAGTTGTGCGCTAGCGCGCATGCGTACTAGTTTTTTTCGTGCGCGTTCGATGTGCCCCGGCTGGTTACAGTGTTGCTGGCGCAATTACAACGCGGATTAGGAAGTGCCGCCGATGAAAGAAGAAGTGAACTGTGTGCACAGAAGAGTGAAGGTCGCAGAACTCTCTCGATAAGCGCAAGTTTACCAGAGCACTTTACACCTCGCCAATGTCGTTGCCACTGCACTTGCAATGAATCATAATGCGATGCAAAATGAACGCATCTTCAGAGTGCGCGCGCGCACTTCACTTCAATTACGATCAAGTCCAGTTGTAGGGTCAACCAACTTGAATGTTTTCATAATAAATCATCCAGTAAATTTATATAATTAAAAGATGAAACTGTTGTAGTATTAATAAATATTAACAGTTTACTCGGTTTACGAAAAACGCGCCTAACTGGGACAACAATAAACATTAAATTAGCCAACACAGTTATTAATAAGAAGAATCGTGGGTAGAATGTCTCCGAAAACATTCGAGTTGCTTTATGACTCGTACCTAAATATATTCATAATACGCAATTTAGCGCAATGCTTGAATGATTTCGGCTTTAATTTCATAAGTTATAACTATGATTACAGTTGGTTACTACTATAAACGTATTTTATTACTAATAATGAATGATCTCTAACCTGCGCACTCATAGAAACTACCTTAAACCCCCCGAAAAAAGACCACCGCACGAAAACGCCTTTTAATGATTTTTAACGATGTGCAACGTGTTTGCTCAATAAAAATCTAGCGCCCGCCCAAACGTATAATTTACGAGCAGCAGCCAACACATGTCCTAATGCTCAACCAAAAAGGCACCGCACGTAAATTGCAAAGAAATTTAACTAACGAGCGCGCCTCAAAACATGCTTTATTACTGGTCGGTGTTGTATGCAAAATTTTCGACGAAGTCGCATTCAGAAACTCCATCCATCCATCAGGCATGTATAATTGCTATAAATATCGTAACAAGTGCACACACGCTGCTCTCTCCGGCAAAACGGCGAACACACATCGCGGGCATAGAACACAACATTCCAAGCACGCCTCCTTTATTGTTGTGCTCACAGATGCCGAGACACGCGCATGATGCATAGTTAAAATCAGCAGCGCGAACAAAAAAGGAAGAATCGCACAGTTCCTTTGCATCATTTGCGTCGATTTTTTTTCTCTAGTCGTCTTTTCTCGGTAATCGTGTGGTGGCAAAACGTCGTTTTCGTATTAAACGATTCTGAAAGGCTTCACAACGCGCATATGCACCTTCGTCCTCCTCCTGAGGTTCTCCTTAGTAGACAGGAAGATCGACTGAAGTTGAGAAAAATAGTTAAAAATTCGTTCCGACGCCGTTGTCGGTCGGTAATAGGTTGCGATGCACTCTTGCGCTATTCTCGGTATTATGCAATGGATTGACTTTCGTGGCGCATCTTTTTTCGCGCTGCGATTCGTTTCCTCCATTGTGCGCACGCGTACGTTACTTTCCGCGTCCCGGGCGGCACACAATCGCATTTAATGGGACGCCCAGCGCGACGTGAATGTATTTTAATTTAAACTATTCATGCGGGAAACAATGTACGATGACGTACCGGTTATGCTGCTGCGTGCGGCACACGCATGTGGTGTCTGGAAGGAATTTCCGTTGTTTTGCGCACAATGCGCACGCGTGTGTGCGTTTTTTTTTTTCGACACGAGCCAAACTCGAAAGTCATATTAGCAATCTCGA